CTCGCCCAGAGTATCTTGTTGTCTCTATCTTATGCAATGATGATCAGTACATGTTTAAAAAAGACCGATAAATAAGATATGGTCGTGTTGATCTGGAATACTTTTCGAATATCATCGTTTTGGTTTTGGAGCGGGACCAATTGCGTCTGGTCCATGGCAGGGAACAGCTGTTGAGGCCGGACTTAGATCGGGCGACTTATCCCCACCATGGACCGCCCGCACCCCAAATCCCCCCTGGCCCATAAACATGTTGTCAACACAACAAATAGTATTTTATGAATGGAATACTCTGTCTATCTGTGATAATAGGTCATTGCCATAATGCCTACTATTATGGAAATTTCTGTACAAGTGGAAGACTTTTGTGACGTGAAGTATGGCACTTCAGAGCAGCACATAAACGCTAGGTTCTCAAGGGTACAGAGGGACGATGCAGACATTGCAATCCTTCTTGACTGGTTTTCATTTCAGGATCCCTTTCCACTAGGACAGTTTGTGATGTCCATGCTCAGGAGTAACTGGCGATGAGAAAATTGATTGCCATGAAGCGTTTGAGGAAAGAATTCAGAGTATTGCTAAGATTATTGGCAATGACTTCGAATTCAGTAATGTCAAGTTTTAACGAAAAAACTGAGTGGTTCCTCTTAAAAGTTTCTACTCAGAAGTAAGAGTTCACGGCGAAGATATGCCAGAAAACCTAGATACACTTTTTCGATCATAACACTTCTAAAAAAATCAGAGGAAGAGTTGAAATGCCTCTTTGAGTTTGAGTTGGCTCCTTATCCCCTTTCTATCTTTGATGGAACAGGAATACGAAAAAGAAAGAAATCTGTGCTCTACGATTTATTTTCATCAGTTTCTAATCTACCAAACCTTGCAGATAGTGGCATTGTAATTGATGGTGGTTTCCTTTTACATCGAGGGGTTTGGCAATCCAATTCAAGGAAAAATTTTCAACAATTCTCTTAAAATATGTGGACTACATTAAGAAATACTACAATCCTGCCAGTACAACCATCGTTTTTGATGGCTATCCTGATGCGGCATCAGTAAAGAGTACCAAATCAGCTGAGCGGCTTCGCCGTAAAAGCAAGTACCTACTCTTCTGCAAATGTGGTGTTGACTGAAACGATGAACGCAACCATGCCGAAAGAACAATTTCCCTCCAACGACAATAACAAAGATTGACTGATTTCCATGCTGCGTGAGAAATTGGTACAGAATGGGTATAAAGTAAGGCAAAGTGTTGAGGATGCTGATACCCTTATTGTCAACACTGCCATTCAGTTGACAGATAACTTTGCGATGGCCATCATAATCGGGGAGTACAGCGATTTATTGATTCTAATAACTGCCAAAGCACCAAAATCATCCACCATTTACGTCATGAAACCTGGAAAGGGAACCTCTCAGCACACCTCCAACTCCAACTTCTCGTCCGTTGTCAAACAGAATATTCTGTTCCTACATGCAATCAGTGGATTTGATGCAACCTCTGCATTCTATCGCCAAGGGAAGTTGAAGTTTGTCAAGCTTCTTGAAAAGAACACGACATTACAAGAGACTGTCAAGGTTTTTCATCATGAAGATGCAGATCCTGAGGTTCTCATTTCAGCAGGTTAACGGTTCTTGGCAGCCCTCTATTCACCTCAGGCAGATGACACCTCTTTGGACCAAATCCGCTGCGAGACATTTTCAAGATCACTCACAAAGCCAACTTTCGAGCTGGCTTTTCTACCTCCAACAAATACAGCCGCCGCCCAACATATAATGCGGGTGTACCTTCTGGGATCCTCTGAGCTGGAGATAGAGGAGAACGGACCTTGGCCTTCTCCTCTTCATAAACACTAAAGATCCAGCTCCAGTTAAAATTCTTAACACTGTTTTCTGCAAATATACAAAGGAGTGTACAAGGAAGTGCAGCTGCCGAAAAGTGTGCATGAAATGTTCAAGAATATGCCTCAACTGCAACGGCCAGTCATGCTCGAATTCAGCATCCTTCGAGAATGAGGATGTGACTCATATTGCCGTAGAAGCAGAAATTGGTGAGGATAGTCCCGTTGAAGATAATCCCGATGAAGAGGACCTTGATATACAACCGCGCCGTCCGAGCTTCTCAGATAGTCGGGGCGGTTAATCAAAAAAATGGGCAGTATCTTGCAAATTGTGATAAAAACTTGAAATTTCGTACAGATAATTTTTTTACAATTATAAGCGATTTGACCCGCATGACCCCCTTTTCGGACCCATAGGAGCCAGAGGGCGCCCATTCGCAAAATGGCGGACCAAGAAATTGTAATTTTTAATTGTGGATCGATTTTATCAAAATTAAGGTCGTTTTCGAATAATTTTCGGTCAAAAAATACAACAGAACATGTTTTTTCTATTACAATATAATCTTTACTCAGAAAAGATTATTCTTTTAATTTTTTTTCAGGAATTAACTATAGTTATCTTCAATCTATGAAAAAAAAAACAAAGTGCGGAAAAAGCTCTTTTTCCGCACGCATTGGCCTGCGGAAAGAGTAATTTTTCCGCACTAGTGTGGACATTTTTTTTTGCACGTCGTCGCGTCGTGTTGACCTACGATATGCATCAGCGATAAATTTACAATTTGCTGAAAATTGTACATTCACCATTAAAATAGTTAAAAATAAATAAAAAATGTTGTTAGGTGCCTAATATAAATTTATATATCTTTTTATTTTTGTATTTTTTATTGTCTGCTCGTAGGAAAAATTGTGTTCCTAACATTCGCGGAAAAATGATACTTTCCGCACTTGTTAGGAAAATAACTATTTTATTAGAAAAAAATATTTAATCTATAAATAATTAATTTTTAGTTCGCTAAATTCCACATCCTCACAACGATTCCTCAGGAAATGTTACATAATTCCTTCAACCATTTACTGATCCGACTCCATAAATGCCTGGAGCAAAATGGCCAACTTATACATCTCTTTTTACAGTTTCATCCAGATTATTACCTTTCTATCAGACAAAGATAATTTCGAAGCTTTGTGAATATGCTAATAAAAAATGCATTTGCAAAAATACCTAGGATTTCGATTTAAATTTTTTACGGCTAAAACTTTAAGTTTCAAGGACGATGTTTATTGGTACATGGATACCTTGAACATGACTCGTTTTTTTGACATTTTAATAAACAGAGGGTGTTCCATTGAAAATAGTGGAGAATTTCGATGTTGAAAAACTACATTTTCTTTACTGGCCCGGTATAAGTATCAAAAAAATGAGCAACTAACAAAAAAAAAAAAAAAATTAGGCCAAGAGAAGTCGAATGGCGCAAACCGCAGGTGGCTAACATACTTGGTTCAAAAGTTATGAGCATTTGAAATGGGTCACTCTCGGCTGGGACATCCTGTATTATTCAAATTTCAATCACTTAATTATATTTTCTCACATTTTTTGATCAAAAATTATTCGAAAACGACCCCAATTTTGCTAAAATCGATTCACAATTACAAATTTTCACCTCTTGATAGCCGCCATTTTGCAAATGGTCGCCATCTTGATCCTATGGGTCTGACAAGGGGGTCATGCGGGTCAAATCGCTTATAATTGTAAAAAAAAATCATCTGAACCAAATTTCATGCTTTTATCACAATTTGCAAGATTATTCGACTAACCGCCCCGACTAAGATCAAGGACCATCCACATCTAAGAAAATGCGAACATGAATGCTGCTACATTTTGTGCTGCATACCTATCGATTTATTTCATCTTCATATTTAAATTTTCATCAATAAACTTTAATTGTTTTTGTTACTTCATTGCACCTAAACTAGCTATGTATAATTTAGTTATTAGGAAATTATTAATAATAATAATAATAATAATAATAATAATAATACTTATCAACGATTTAATGGTAATACAGAACTTTGATAAACTTAATATTGATTTTTATTTGTACTACTCGAATTTCTACTCAGGTTATGCATATTCCTTCAACATAGCAAAGCAATAAGAAGCGCTGTTTTGGTACAAAATGTTGATATTTTTTTACCTTAAATGACATAAAATTACTCAAAACGTCGAAAAAAAACGATTTCGAATTGATGCCAAATTTTGAATTTTAAATGAATGTACTTGAAAACTGAGGTATCTATGTAACGTGACATTTTATTCTCTACAATTTTTATTCCATGGATTTTTTCATAGGAGTATCTGTTTTCAAGATATGTGGTCTTGGAAAGTCGCAAAATGTGAGTTTGCACCGCAATACAAACTTTTTTTCGTTTTTCACATTCATTTTCCGCTATATCACTCAACCGAATTTGAAGTTTCATACGTCAATCGACGCAGAATTTAGTCCTCTGTATTGTTGAATAAAACGACATTTTCCGTCCGACCCACCGTTTTCCAGCTACAAGCAAAAAACTTAAAATAGTGCAAAAATTTGGCGGTTTCTTGGCTACTAAAAGTTAAATTCACCAAACTCAGATTACACGCATTTAGGACCAAATAGAGGTTTTAAAACGATTTGCAGCTTGCTGGAAATTAATTTCTCAAAACGGATTTTTGCGACTTAATTTTATTGGCCTATAAATAAATAAGTTTTATTTGTAAGAGTAACCAATATTAAGGAAAAATTACTCCATTTGTTGTTAATATCAAGTGTTGCAAAAGAAATTCTGTCAAATATTGGTGTTAAAATTTACCCTAATTAGGTACGTTTCTTATTATTTCGTTAATTTTAAATATTTACCTCGCAAAAAAGTCAATTTATTAGAAATAAAAATGAAAAATATATCGAAAACCGTTGAGAATGGCATAGAGGTGAATATTGTTCAATGGGTAGCAAATGAGCTCTACTTTCACCTCCTCAAAGAAATACGTCGACTGTATATTTGTAAATTATACTTTGGAAGCAAATCTTCAATCTGCCTATTTTATGTAGTGAGAAATGTTTAATTACAAATTGCTATTAGTTAATATAGCTACAAAAGGTATTATTTGATAAAATATGTAGGTACCTCATCCTCAGGCGAGACTTCCGCTGATGCCGTTTCTCCGTTGCCAGCTTCTCCATGTACAGAAATCGGGTTGGTATTTTCAGAAGAATTTCCTTCTTGAGGGGTAACCCACTGAAAAGTTAAGTTTACAAATCTAGACAAAGTTTTGGACTGCTGTATATTTAATTAACGTTCTTTTTAATTGTATATATTAGCTATTCATATATTAGCGTCCCCTACTACTATTTATTTTCGGCTTGAGGTTGACCTGCGTATCAACGCGCATTGCTTTATTATGCCATTCCTAACTAAACTACTTGTAGATAGACAGCAAAATATTTCTAGCAATTCTCAAACATCTATTTTATTCCGGATCATCTCTCAGCTTAAAAGTAAATCGGGAATCATCAAGTACACAAAGTGGCTGTGTTTGCAAAACTAGACAAAAAAAAAACTATACAAAAAAATTACTCCAGACAAAACTCTATTTATATATATATATATATATATATATATATATATATATATATATATATATATATATATATATATATATATAAGTATATGATATTTATTTATTTATCTATTCTAGAAGAGTAGGTACCTATTTACAGCAGCTTGCCATTTACAGACAAAATCTTAAGAATCTTGATTTTTAAAAAGCACAACACTTTAAAACAAAGACAAAATCTATAGAAATATTATGATGTAGTTATCAGTCAACCTGGTCCTCAGACTCATGCAGTCGTCTATCTATTGTTTTGGTTAGGGTGTTTAAATTGAGCACATCCAACTCCAGGTTACTTGCAAGAATATTAGAAACATTATAGACGGAGAGCCAGCGCCGAAAAAATTCTCTGAATTTACTAAAGCCAGTTTTTGAACAGTTGATTTCAATAGTTATGTACATAAATATAGCGCAGTCAGTCAAGCGAAACTTAGAACAAGGGCCTAGGGTGTCTTGTTGAAGTTGTCGAGATAATTTAGTTAATGCAACGAATTTACTAAGGCTGAAAATCGTTATAAGGTACCTGAGCCAAACTAGGCCAGGGGTCCTTACAAGGCCCGCTATTAAATGTGGCAACCCTGAGTAACCAAAATCAAGCACAAAACGCCCTTCCACATGCAATATGTCTCCCGAGGACTAGTCAAGGTTAAATTAGGCGTTGTCTTTTGCGCGCGTTCGTCAGTTGAAACATAACCTTCATAGGTGTGTGTCGCAGCTCCTCAAATTGTGTATAAAAGTAAGTAGATATTTTTTTGTTTTGATATTATAGCAGTTTTAGCTACCCACTGGTATAATTTTTTGAGCAAGATATGTTATTCCTTGGTGCTTTACGACCTGGTTATTCTTAAAAAACAAGAAAAATTAATTAGGTCCTTATAACGCCTACAATTTTGGCCCAAATAAAGCCCAAGGGCCTTAATTGGATCTGAATTTAAACTTCTAGTAATTTATTATTTCAAGTAATAAAGTACATGTTTTCAAATTTCCAGGAAAAATGGAACCTCCAAAAAAACGGGCAAAACTGGTCGCAAGAACAGCTGCGGCATGCGATGGACGCAGTGAGAAGGGGATCATCTGTCAGAAGTGCTAGCGTAAACTATAGCATACCTCGAAGAACTTCGCGAAATTATTTTACATCTAGTGTGAGTGAAAAAAAGATTGGGCCGCCCAACAGTCTTAACAGCCGCTCAGGAGACTGATCTTTGTGAACGAATATTCCGATTATGCGACATTGGCATGCCGTTAACTTCGAAGCTCCTGAAAAGATCGGTTTTTGCCTACTGCCAGCTACTTGAAATACCCAACCCATTTTCTGATGTCAAGAAAACTGCAGGGAGGGAATGGCTTCGCCTTTTTTTTTAAAGCGACATGCGGATGTGGCAAGACGTAAAGCACAGCAAATGAATGTTGCAAGGGCAGCAAAACTAAATAGGTTCATTGTAAATGATCATTCGCCATGTCTTGGAGGAAATGGATATTATCAATAAGCCGCACCTAATTTTCAATATGGACGAAAAGGGATGCAGGCTGACCTTGCATAAGCAACCAGAAGTGCTTGCAAAACGTGGTTCTTCAAATGTCCATATTATTGCCGAAGAACATGCGGAAAATGTTACGATAGTTGCATGTGGTAATGCAATTGGGCAAGTAATACCCCCAATGATTTTGATGAAAGGGAAAAGGGAAAAACAGGAATGGTCCGAGAAGCTTCCCCCGGGATCTGTTATCAAAATGACCGACGAAGGCAGCATGAACACTTCAACTTTTGTGACTTGGATTAAACACTTTTCTCAGTTTAAGCCGAACGAGAAGGTTCTTCTCATATTTGACGACGCAACTTCTCACCTTGACTTCTTAATAATTGAAGAGACTGATTAACATGATATAACTCTGTATTGCCTTCCTAGTAACACCACTTATCAATTGCAACCTATGGACAAGTCTATCTTTGGGCCATTTGAAAGTTATTGGGATGACGAGGTGTTACTATTTTGGACAAATAAGCCCAACCACCGAATAACTGGGTTAAATTTCGGAACAATTTTTAGTAAAGTATGGCCACGGGCAGTAACACCAAGACCCAAACGTTCTACCGTACAATGTGTTTGCGCCTTCAGAGCTTACAATGAGAAGATCTTCGAATGCAGAAAATGTGATGAAGTGATAAAAATGCAAAATGACGAGCAGGAAAATGTAGCTGATTTAAACCGTGCAAACCCTGAACTATGCCAAAAACTATTATCGATAAAAGAAGTCATCAAAAACAGCTAGATCTGACATCTCTTTAGTAACCAAAATCAAGAACAAAACGCCCTTCCGTATGCAATATGTCTCCCGAAGACTAGTCAAGGTTAAATCAGGCGTTGTCTTTTGCGCACTCCATAAGTGTGTGTCGCAGCTCCTCAAATTGTGTATAAAAGTAAGTAAATATTTTCTTGTTTTGATATTATAGCAAAGTGTGCAGTTTTAGCTACACACTGGTATAATTTTTTGAACCAAACATTTCTAGATACTTTTACGTGTAAAGCTGGTCCAAATGGACGTCAAAAGCCTAATAGGAATCCAAAGAAAATTAAGAAAGTAAACAATTCCTCAAATTCTGATACTGCAAGCGATTAGCCTGTACGAGATTCTTCTTCGGAGGATGAGAGTTTCAGCAGCTTTATTCGTGAAAGTAGCCCTATAAAAGAACAATCTCCAGAACAAAAATCTGAAATTGAAGAAAAAAAAATAACGCCGAGAAAAAAATCATTAAATTATAGGGCACAACGCGTAATCAAAGATTTGTTTAAGGGAAGTGTACAAACTGCTTCGAAAGGAAATCAACCTCAGCCAAAGAAAAAAACCAAGAAAGTATTAGAAAGATGTTATTGTCACGTTTGTGATGAAGATGAAGTGGCAAATATGCGACTATGTAATATGTGCCTTCGGTATGTTCACGAACATTGTGTAGGGTTATTTATGTTAACTCCATTAATGAAAAATCCTGGGCAGTTTTCCAGGAATATTTTGTTTGAGTAGATATTGAAAAGTAACGGTGAAAGGATAAAACCCTCTCGGACACCCCTTTTGATTCGAACTTCGCTTGACATCTGTTGATCTATCGTAATTTGTGCAATTTTGTTCCAGTAAATATTTGCAATTATTTTGACCTCTCTATCCTCCAGGCCTTCGTCTTCAATGATTTTCATAAGCTTTTCGTGTTACACCCTGTAAAAAGCCTTTTCGTAGTCTATGAAACAGGCATAAACAAGAACCGAGACTGAACCCGTTACGAAAACCGAATTGAAATTCGCCCATAAAGGACTCACATTTTGCATATATTCTCTTGTGGATGATATTCAGGAAAATCTTAAGAAAGTGACTCATCAAGCTGATAAGCCTATAATCGCTTTATCTTTTTGCCGTTCTCTTCTTTGGAAGTGTTATAAATGTTGATTGCAGCAAGTCGAAAAGAATGACGCGCGATCGGTAGACCATATTAAAAAGCTTCACAATCACGTTTCGTGACTCCTCGTTGTGTAAGATTTTGATGACTTCCGAGTAAATTCCATCTGGACCTACAGCTTTTCTATTTTTTGATGACGAGACTGCATGTTGGACTTCTTCCTTACTTATATCAAGCCCTTCGCTTGTATATTGTTCAGAAATGTCCTATCTTCCATCATGAAAAAGGTTTTTGATATAGCCACATTGGCACTGCTAAGGGTGGCTCAGCATACCTGGAGCAATAGCGTAGAGGAAGGGCACCATCCCGCCCCCTGCAGCAGCAGTGCCTGCAAGTGGGTAGGAGACATGATGACGTCCCTCTGCGGAAACCTATCGGGTATAACTCGTGTCCTGGAGCCGGTGCCGGTGGATAATAAGGTAATGAGCTCCATGGGCGTGAAGGTTTGCTTTAGCAGGCCGGCCAAGTGGAAGGGAACCACAGAAATCCCCCCCAAGTCACGGCGGAACAGCATAGGCCAAGGGCTGCGTGATTAAGGGGAAGCTTAATCACTACTATGCGGACTCTAGGGACGTGACGACCCCTAGTTTAAATGCCTCCCAAAGGGCATGCGGGATTCTGTCATTTCCTTTGCTACTCGTGGGAACAAATATGGACCAAGTAGATAAAAACAAGGGGGAAGGTGACCCCCCAAAAAACACTTATAAACATGGAAAAAGAGGAGATTCATAGCCTCACAGGATTAGTGGATGAAGGATCCGCACTATTAGTATCTACCGACGACGAAATCGGCAAAGATCTAAACGCCTTGCAACTAAAGAGCAAAAAGATCAGGCTAAGCGGCGCTGCAAGAAAGAGGTTTAAGTTCCTCATCAGCAAAGGGCTAAATGCAGATGAAGCCCGTGCTAAAGCACTTGTGCCACTACCGATTAGGGAAAAGTCGGAGAAGGCCAAGGAAAAGGCAGAACCCTCTGGAAAAGGATCTAAAAGGGTCCGTTCAGCGGAGAATACGCCTGAAACACAGGTGAGAAACAAGGCCAAGCAAAAGGAAATGGGCAGCAGTGACCTGCCTCAAGCGAAAGCCCCCAAGCCAACCTTCAGCCAAATAGCTGGCGATATAAAGGTAGGGATACTACCTTCGAATCTTCCACAACTTCTCCTTCCAGTGGGAGCAAT